CAAAGAAAAAGCTGATATAAGGGTGAGATCTTAAACAATCAAAATTAGGGCGCACCTCAAATATTTATTTAAAAAGATTGTTTCGATGTTAAAAATTTTTAAAACTTCGATCATCTTGAGGTCAAGATGTATAGACATAGAAAAAAATAGATTTCAAGTCTTTAAAATAATGCACTTATAATGTATTATCTAGACCGTAATTGTTTAGGTTTTTAAGTGTACATAGGTCTATTCGATATACAATATTTTTTTAATTTTAAATTTTATAATTAAAGATGAAAATAAATTTTCAAGCCATTAGACCGTAATTGTTTAGGTTTTTAAGTGTACATAGGTCTATTCGATATACAATATTTTTTTAATTTTAAATTTTATAATTAAAGATGAAAATAAATTTTCAAGCCATTAGACCGTAATTGTTTAGGTTTTTAAGTGTACATAGGTCTATTCGATATACAATATTTTTTTAATTTTAAATTTTATAATTAAAGATGAAAATAAATTTTCAAGCCATCATAAAGATGTATTATACCTAAACTACATATTTCGATACTATTTGAAGGTGCGCCCTACGTTTTGGGCCTCGCCTTTACAAACCACACCCATTTGTAAAAGAAAGAAGATATATATTGTTGTAATCTTCAGATTACGACGGAATATATCAATCCACAATATTAGTTCAAAAATATCAATCCACAACATTTATTATGTTTAGTTGGAGGAAATGTAACTCTCTTGCTCCCCAAGTGGGGTATTCATGAAGGTTTCAGTTACCTCCTCGTCGTCGCCTCTTTTTGTTTAGGAATAAATTATTTGTGAGTCAGCCCAACATGGGTGCATCATGGGTGCAAGAGGTCGCTGGCTCACCAACATCATATTCTAAAAGGTGCGGTTTGTATAGAGCCGAGGTTCTAAACAATCAAAATAAAGCGCATCTTCAAATAGTGTCAAGAAATTGTGGTTTCAAAACTTTAAATCTTTGCGATAGCTTTAAAATATGTTGTTATATCTAATTATAAAATTTTAAGCTTTAAAAATAGTGTAGATTGAGCAGATCTATGAAAACTTGAAAATCGTGAAAATTGATGGTCCAAAATATATTACATAATGCATTATTTCCAAAACGTAAAATCATTTTTTTCTCATGTCCATGTATATTGATGTCGAGATGATCGTTTTAAGGATATTTGGACATCAAAAAAAGCTCTTCTAGTGAAATTTTTGAGGTGAGATCTATTTTGATTATTTGAGCCTCGGCTCTATATAAACTTTTTCCTATTGTAAGGGTAAAAGACATGTCCGGCTAAAATAAATTTAGACTTTGTAGAATGTTCCTTAAAAAATCACATTTTAGATATTAAAATTTTTATTTTATTTTTCATATTCATGATTATTTTAACCTACCTCATGCATCTCTAAATCTTTAGAATAGAAATCTATTTTTAAAAGGGTGCGGTTTGTATAGAGCTGAGGCTCTAAACAATCAAATTAGAGCCCACCTTCAAATAGTATTGAGAAATATGGTTTCAATATTGGAAAGTTTTGTGATAGCCTTAAATTATATTTTCATCTTTAGCTATAAAATTTAAAGCTTCAAAAATAGTGTAAATCGAGCCGATATATGAAAACTTGAAAATCTTGAAAATTGATGGTCCAAAAATACGTTACAAGATGTACTATTTTTAAATTTTGAAATATATTTTTTCTCATGTCCATGCATCTTGATGTCGAGATGAACAATTTAATGATATTTGGGCATCAAAACAACCTCTTCTAGTGAAAGTTTTGAGGTAGGCTCTAATTGAATTGTTTAGAGCCTAAGCTCTATATAAACTTTTCCTTTTATTTAAAATGGGTGTGGTTTGTATAGAGCTGAGGGTCTAAAAAATCAAAGTAAAGCACATCTTCAAATAGTGTCGAAAATGTGGTTTCAATACTAGAAATATTTGTGATAGATTTAAAATATATTTTTATTTTTAATTATAAAATTTAAAACTTCAAAAATCGTGTCGATTGAGCTGATATATGAAAACTTGAAAATCTTGAAAATTGACGGTCCAAAAATGTATTACAAGATGCACTATTTCCAAAATTTCAAATCTATTTTTTTTCTCATGTCCATGTATCTTGATGTTGAGATGGTCAATTTGAGGATATTGAGCATCAAAACGACCTCTTCTAGTGAAATTTTTGATGTGCGATCTAATTTGATTGTTTAGAGCCTCGGTTCTATATAAAATTTTTCCTAAGGGTAAAAGACCCTATGGGGCTAAAATAAAGGGAAAAGTTTATAGAGAGTCGAGTCTCTAAACAATCAAATTCAAGCCTACCTCAAAAATTTCACTAGAGGAGGCTGTTTTGATGCCCAAATATCCTCAAATTGATCATCTCGACATCAAGATACATGGACATGAGAAAAAAAATAGATTTCAAGTTTTAAAAATAGTGTATTTTGTAACGCATTTTTGGGCCGTCAAATTTCAAGATTTTCAAGTTTCCATAGATCTCTCAATTTACACTATTTTTGAAGATGAATATTTTAAGGCTATCAAAAAGATTTCCAGCATTGAAACCACATTTCTCGATTGAAGGTAGGCTTTAATTTGATTGTTTAGAGCCTAGACTCTATACAAACTGCACCCTAAAATAAATTTAGATCATGTAGAAATGTTCCTTAAAAAATCACATTTTACATATTAAAAATTGTATTTTATTTTTCATATTCATGATTATTTTAACCTATGTCATGAATCTCTAAATCTTTATATTAGAGATCTATTTTTAAAATGGGTATCGTTGAGGCACTAAAAATCAAAGTAAAGCACACCTTCAAATAGGGTTAAGAAATGTGGTTTTAGTACTAAGAATCTTTGTAATAGCCTTAAAATATATTTTTATTTTTAATTATAAAATTTAAGGTTTAAAAAATAGTGTAGATCGAGCTAATCTATGAAAAGTTGAAAATATTGAAAATTGACGGTCTAAAAGTACGTTACAAGATGCACTATTTCTAAAAATTGAAATTTATTTTTTTCTCATTTCCATATATTTTGATGTCGAGATAATCAATTTGAAGATATTGAGCATCTAAACAACTTCTTTTAGTGAAATTTTTTATGTAGGCTCTAATTTGATTGTTTAGAACGTGGCCTCTATATAAACTTTTTTCATATATCAATCCACAATATTTATTGTGCAATGTAACTCTCTTGCTCTCCCACGTGGGCTATTCATGAAGACTGCAGTTACCTCCCTTGTTGTGTGCTTGGTCATTATTGCTCTTTCTTTGTTTTTAAAAGGAGAAGTTATTCGTGAGTCAATGTTAACGTCCATTCCTAAGGTTGGCGTAGGAGACTCAATGGAGATGGACCTTGCGAAAAATCTATGGGCTAAAATGAATTTAGTAATTTAAAAAAAAAATCATATTTTAGATATTGAAATGGCTGTAAGGGTTGTAATCCGATGTAATCCCGCCTAAGCAAGATTTCGAAAGGAGTGGGTTAGAAACGGTCTTAACTTTTTGGCTTATGCACAAAATGGCCGCCCTCAAGACTCAAACCCACGCTCTTGCATTAGATACCCAAGTTTTTTTACTATCACACCAAGGGGATATTTTATTTTATTTTTTATAATCATGATCATCACCTAGATCATCAATTTCAAAATTTTAAATTGAAAATCTATTTGTAAGATATGTTTGAGTGGGAGCCCGCATGTGTACAGCATGAGTCAACTAACTCATGGAAATCCACCGCTAATATTAATTCTTGCCTCGTTTAAGTTTAAACGAAGTGGGGTATACCTTATTTAATGATGTTGCGGTTCCCCTTCAATATCGGTGGCGCCACCTCTTCCGAAATAACGGAGCACCGACGGTCCCCATGCAGAGGAGACCGGTTCTCTCGATAGCCCCTCACTGGATTAACGCTTTGGTGACCGGCTGACGCCTTCCCGCAAAAAGTTGCCGGTTAGAAGAATTGTGGCTGTTACTTTGTAAGATCGAATGAACGGGTGGGTAAGGACCCTTCTCTTTCTTTTCCTCCTCGGTTTTCTCTCTCTTTTTTTATTCACCCCCTCTCTCTCTAGAATTTCAAAAACTTTAAGTGAAAAAATTAAATTAAAGAAATCAATGCTCGCTTAGTTCATCTGTATCGTCATGGAAATGGGATTATTTGATTGTTTATTCGGTTTCATCGTTAGTTAGTCACAGTAGGTGATCATTTGGCGGCAATTTAGTTTAAAATATTGAGGGAGAGAGAGATGAACATGGTTGAGTGTAATATGCAGCACAAGGAAGGGGGTGATGATAAATAGACAGAGTTTCTTTGTTGGGTTTTAGGGTTTGGAGACAATAAGGGAAAGCAGAGGGGTGAGAGATATTATTGAATGGGGGGCAAGAGGGATGGGAGGGGGATAGAGAACTGAGTGGAATGTTACACAGGATAATGATTGAGGAGTAGATATGGTGTTAATGGTTGTTGGGATTTGTACGTACGTTGCTGATCTCCTATCTCGAAAGGAACCATGGTGTGAGGACCTTCACTTCATAATTTACATTTCAGAGGTGGTTTTTCTCTCCTGTACATTACATTCTCTCTAGTTCTCTTTTTGTTGGTTCTGTTTTGCTATGAGTTTTTCATGGATTTTTTACCCTCCAGTTTGTAGTCGAATGTTTCTCCTTCTGGTTTGTAGTCGTCCACAATTTAAAAAGAAGGTGATGCCCGCTCGCAATCACTGGAACAACTCCTCAAAAAGCTGAAATGAAATGCATTGTCAATAAACAGGTAATTAACAAGAACTTAAAAACATTTCAAAAAATTTAGGGTTTGATAAAATAGGTATGGTCTCTCAAATTAACCAGGCTCTGAAATTTTTAGATTATCAGAATTTGCGGCTGTGCGACTTTCCAATGGGACACCCAGATTGTCGCAACTACAAGTTTCTAAAGCTCTCTTTCATCCACAATTGCGACAAGAAGAATTCAGGTTTGAGCTCAAAAGATGAATGGCACAGGGACCCTTCCTTGTTTGAAGAATGTCAAGACAAGGTGCATAGAAGAAGAAGTGGAGGGGGCCCAACTCCATAATGTGAACCAGGAGAGTTGTTCGAGCTCTATATCACTTCTGATCCGAACCTTGCCAGAGGAATCAAGGCCTGGTTGGCCCCTCCTACAAAGAGCAAAATCGTCAGCAGGAGGAGGAGCATCAGCAGAAGCCAGGCAAATGTCTGTAGTCCAGTGGGCATTGCAATTGCCAGACAGATCAAGCCCCCATTCCAGCCTTGGATCAGAGGGAAAACTAAAACTGGGAGATCACTTGATGTTTAATTTAAGAGAAGAAGAAATCTCTGCCCTTAAGAGTGGGAACTTTAGGAATGGAGATGAAGATACTAACATCACAAAGGCAGCCATGGATTTGGAGTCTTTTCACAGGAGGAACCCCTCTGGCTGCAGAAGGTTCAGCTACAAGGAGCTCAAGTGCCTGTCTCCCAAGCTCTCTTCAGGTTCTTCTTCTTTTTCCTACTCATCCCCTTCTGTGGCTGGCTATATTTTGAAAGTTTTGCAGACCCATATTTTTTTATTTTTGACTCAGTTCAATTGGGGGTTTCTCCTCTTTTTCTCTATCTTTAACAGAGAATTTAATAGGAAAAGGAGGTAGCAACCAGGTTTACAAGGGTTATCTTCCAAATGGGCAGCCATGTGCTGTGAAGATTACGAGATTCTCAGGTGAAACATGGAGAGATTTCATCTCTGAAGTTGACATCATCACCTCTCTGCAGCATAAGAACATCATCTCTCCTATAGGAATTGGTGTCCATGAAAACAAGCTTGTATTTGTGTCTGACTTCCTACCAAGAGGAAGCCTGGAAGAGAACCTCCAAGGTAAGCTGTGTGCAACCTCCTAGTTTTAACAACAATCTTCATGTTGCCCTCCTCTCTGAAAGCAACCTCCATAACTCACTTAGGTGAAAAGGGAAAGTTTGTTCTTGGATGGGACAAGAGGTTCAAGGTGGCGGTGGGAGTTGCGGAGGCACTGAATTACTTGCACAGCTGCTGCCTTCGACCAGTCATACACAGGGATGTCAAATCTTCCAACATTCTTCTCTCAAACAACTTTGAGCCACTGGTCAGTAGATTGTTCTCTCAATACCCATGATAAATCAAAGCCAAAATTCATTTTTTGAGGTTTACAAATGTCCTCTGGATCACCAGTTGTCTGATTTCGGACTCGCGATTTGGGGGCCGACAAACTCTCCTCATGTCACGCACAGTGATGTCATGGGGACCTTCGGGTGAGATTCTTACTATTACTTTTAGTCTCTGGTTTTGATAGTATTTGGAGTTTTGAGAAGCATTCTCTACAATGCATCTGCAACAGGTACCTTGCACCAGAGTATTTCATGTATGGGAGAGTGAGTGACAAGATTGATGTTTATGCTTTTGGGGTGGTTCTCCTTGAGCTGATTTCGGGAAGGAAGCCAATCAGCACCGACAGCCCGAGGGGCCAAGGGAGTCTTGTCATTTGGGTAAAGGCTCAACTGTAATGATCCAATGGACATGCTTGAAAGGCCATACTAATTTTTCATGCTATATGAACATTTGTAATGTGCCCTACCTAATTTTACTATGTTTTTATCATGAGAAGGCAAAACCGATCCTCGAGAGTGGGAAGTTGGCCCATCTGGTTGATTTGAACTTGACTGGAAAATATAATGAGAAGCAACTTCATAGGATGGCACTTGCTGCGACACTTTGTATAACGAGGACTGCAAGACTCCGGCCTCAAATGAGTCTGGTACCATTATTCTCTCTCTCACAATTGTCATATAAGAGATGAATTTGCAGAAGCTCAACCGAAGAGATGATTTTTACCTTAGTCCCACTAATGTAGCAGTGTCAATTTATTTTTGATGTGTTACAATTCAATTTTACAGATCCTAAAACTACTGCAAGGAGAAGATGAAGACGTGATGAATGATTTCTGCCATGCAGCATCCGAGTGTAAGGAGTGCAATGGCGTCGAAGATGAAGAGGATGATCATCATCAAAATCTTCAAGGTTTCAGCATCCAGTCTTTGTTGAACCTTGCATTGCTAGATGTTGATGATGATGATACCACCTTGGAAAGTCGCACCGCCAAAAGTGCTCGTAAGTCCTTGGATGATTATCTGAGGGGGCGGTGGAGCCGTTCATCTAGTTTCAACTAAGACCAAATACAGAGAATGGTCCTTTTTTCTTCTCTTTGTACTCATTAGCCTTCTTTCTTTTCTTTTTTGGATATGTTAGTGGGAGTCGAGAGTTGAGGCATCCATCCTCATAACTACCAATGTCCCAAACCCATTCCCTTGGTTAGCCCTTTTAGACTCTCTCTCCCCGCTCTCTGTAAATGAGTATGTACAGTCAGTCATACAGGAGGATATCATTCCCTTGTTGCAGGTACACAGATAGTTGTGAAGGGTTGGCATTTCCAACTATGCATTTGGATGAACCGTTCAATGGAGATAATACTAAGAGCTCTTAATTCATGAATTTTGATTTTTCTTTCACTGGCCCTTTGGCTAAAGAAAGCAGGAGTTATTTTTTAAAAATAAATTTGTGAAATATTCAAATCATTTATTTGAATATGTCCTGTTTGTTGAGCATCTAGTTGGAATCCAGAAAATATTTTTTCGTTGTTTGGCTCAGTTACTAAATTGATTTCCTAGGAATAGGTAAACACAACATTGTTACAACTTTATATAAAAAACGAAATGTATACAGTGAGATCATTTACTTTTGCTACAAGGAGGTCAACAAATTTTATTAACTATTAGATTTGAAATCAGGTGGTTGAGAATGTATCTTTGAAAATAAAGTCCAAAATGATTTCTCTAACGTTGTAACAATACTTTTATATATTAGATCACCATTCAATAGACTCATCCAATAGCTAGAAGTGATTGTGATCTCTTTTTTATTATCATGATTTATTAGTTTGGGTTCCTCTCTCTCCTAAAATCACACCTCTTCTATCTCTCCCTAATCTCCAAGCCCGACAAGAGCTTGAGAAAAGCGTCAATGGCAAAGCCCTTGAATAGAAGCTCCAAAAGGAACGCAAGTGTCGATTTCCTTTCGTCACTCCTTTTGCATACTTTTTTGTCTTTTTCCTATGTCGTTATCTCTCTTCAATCTTTTTCTTTTTCAGATTTCCAACACTGTTCAATGTTGCTACTGTTCAAATGAAAATTTTGGGATATGCTTCTATCTCAGTGGATATTCTCCCTTAACAAGTCGTTGCCCTTGTTGTGAATTGTAGATTTATCCTATATATATATATATTCCATCTTTATGTAATCTAGGTTCATGACA